GTGCTTTGCAAACTGTTTTGTTTCACTTTCCATGCGATTAGCACCCATCAGTGCTGTAGGCACTTACGCTCCTCATCAGGACCATAGAAGATAGGAAAAATAGAATAAAGTTGCTAAGAGGACGATATTTGCACGTGCCCTCCTAAAACTACCTTTGAAAAAAATACTGCGGCGGTCGATCCGGCCGGAGACAGAAGTCGATGGGTCGATAGGTGCATTTCCCAAGGCAGACTCGAGCATTTACGAGTAGTGTTCGCTCTTCTGTTCGATGCTATTGCGCTCTTTACCCGTCATCCATCTTCTCGAAAAGTGCCCCAATTAGCAATCCCTGAGAAAAGCAGACCCTTCAAAAGCAGAATGTCTGGAAAAGAGGTAAATGCGAATTTCAGTTGGCAAACTACAGGAGAAGAACAAAACAGGAAAACTTGGGCTAAATGTGGAGAAAAGGCCGGTACTTATCCCGACTGTGGCGCAGATTCGTGTGTCGCGATCAATAAAATGCGATTGTGTGTTAAGGACAGGGGCCCATGAAGCAAAGTGACCTCTGCAATAGGTGCTAAATTGTGGACTTATATAAAAGTTAATGAAGGAAATAGTATTACAAGTGTAAAACAGGATAAAACAAATCGAATCAATGATAATGAGTGTATCACCTGTATCACCTGTGCTCCCGTTGATCATCGAGTTCCTCGAGCGGGCGCCAGTAACGTCTCCATTCGTCCCTGCAACGTGCAAGAGTTGCCCAATGAACTCTCTCAGCTCGAGGGACACGATGAACTTCATACCATTCGTTCAGAGCTTTCACGAAGAAGTCTGACCATCGCATAGGCGGTCGTCCAGGCGTTCGCTTGACATCCCGTGGAATCCAGTCGGTGATCGCTCTGGTCCAGCGGTCGTCCTCGAAACGCATGACGTGTCCGGCCCACCTGATCTTCGAAGCCTTGGCAAAATTGCGCGGAGTCGCCGACGCAGGTGACTACGCGCCGTCTCTGATCTTCGATCGTTGGCGGAGTGCGGAGCTCCGGATTCCCTCTCTCACTTGCGTGTAAGCGGGAAACTCCGAGCATCGCCCTTTCGATGGCGCGTTGAATAACACCGACCGCATGCTCATCCTGCTTTCGTAGAGTCCAAGTCTCTGAGGCGTACGTCAAGGCAGGAAGGACCGCGGAATCGAAGAGGTGGGCACGGAGCTTGGTGTTCTTCGTCTTCTTCGCTACTCCCTCGATGTTCTTGAAGGCTCCCCAAGCCGCTCGCTTCCTCCTGCTCAGCTCTGGAGCTAGGTCATTCATCATATTGATTTCACGACCTAGGTACACATAGCTAGAGCATTCAGAGATGGTCGTTCCGTTGAGCGTGAATGGGGCATCAGATACCAATCCGTTTCTCATGAACATCGTCTTCGTTAGGTTCAGCCGTAGACCGATTCTTCCACACGCGCAGTCGAATTCAGCCAGCATTCGTTCCGCTTGCTCGATGTTTGGCGTTATCAAAACGATGTCGTCAGCAAAGCGGAGATGGTGTAGTTGCCGACCGTCGATCTTCACTCCCATGTCTTCCCATTCCAGTTGACGCATTGCGTTCTCGAGAGAGAGGCGCTGAAGAGCTTGGGCGAGATGGTGTCGCCCTGTCGGACCCCTCTCTTCACATCAATGATGATCTCCTTGTAGAATGGTGAAATCTTGGTCGTGAAGTTGCTGTAGAGCTCACGAAGAATCCTGATGTACTGAGTAGGAATACCCTGGTTGCCCAGGGCTTCGATAACCGCTTCTGTCTCAACGGAGTCGAAGTGATCCCAGTTGATGGTCTTGGGGCTTCGCTTCTTGAACTTTGCGGCTCTCTCTCCTCGCATCGAAAAGCGGAATCTTGCGCGAAGGAGACGATGGTCGGATCCCGTGTAGAACTTAGGGACAACAGCGACATCGGTCAGGCAAAACCTTCGATTGCAGATGATGTGGTCGATCTCGTTATGGAATTGTCCACCAGGAGACTCCCATGTCCAGCGTAGAGAGTAGGGCTTCTGGAACTGCGAGTTACCATGGATGGTGTGGGTCGACATGATAAACTCAGACAGCCTTTCACCCTGCTCATTCCACTCCGTTCCGTGAGTTCCGATGTGAAGTTCTTCAGCCGTTCTTCTTGGTCCGATCTTAGCGTTGAAATCACCGACGATGACCTTGAAGAAGGTATGATCTTCCTTGTAGAACTTCTCCAATTCCATATAGAACGCTTCGAGCTCATCCTCGTCGTAGCTTGATGTTGGTGCGTAGGCGACGAAGATTGTCAAAGCTGGAGTTGAACCTTGAATACCTTGAATACCTTGATGTCCGCTCTTCAAGGTTGGTTGCGCCATCCTTGCAGGACACATCTATGCCATTCATCACGATTTCTTGCCATTTGTTGCCATCTCTGTCCATATAGTTTCTTAAAAGGATCACTCCACCTGGCTGGGGGTCTTCCCCGTGGCCTTTTTACACCACGAGGATACCAGTTGGTTACGCGATATGTCCATCGGTTATCGTCAAGACGAGCTACGTGTCCAGCCCATCTCTTTTTCGAGTCATAAATGGTTTCGATAACATCCTTTACGCCCGTCCGTCTTCGGATTTCGCGAGCAGGGATCTTGTGCATTAGCGTTACTCGACACATTGCTCGCTCCATTGCCCTTTGCGTAGCAGCTAGTCTTTTCTCCTCATCTTTGATTGTGTTCCATGTCTCACTTCCATATACCAGTGCTGGTAGAACATGGGTGTTGAACACCTGAGATCTTACTTGAGTTTCATCCGTCTGTCGGTGAGAACATCTCGGTATTTGTTAAATGTGGCCCATCCCGCCTTTCGGCTGATTTCTCCTGTAAGATCATTATCCATCGTTATTAGCTCGTGTCTACATTGTCGTTTATTATTTCATTATCTTCTTTGAAATTCCGCGAACGTGGCAAGTGCGTTTAGTACCGCTTGCTGTTTCGACCGAATCGTTACACGAAGCTGGAGTTGAACCACATCTTCTCAATCGCAAACGTCCGATTCGGGTCGTCAGACTTTCGTACGAATCGATGTTCATGGCCAAGTGCGTGTTGACGAGGACGCCCACACCGCCAACGCCTCTGCTGTCGCATGTTCCGAGGAACAGTTCTTCTCCAGTCTCGTACACGGCGTGTAGCGGGCGATGCCTCCTCGTCTCGGTCAGTCCGATGACGTCGTACTTGATCTTCCTGGCTTGCAACATCAGATCTTCGATGTGAGCTTCCGATGCAAGCGTCCGTGCGTTGAAAGTACAGATCGTCATCCTAGTCCTGGGCGACTCAAATCTCCGTTGGCCCTGTGATTTTAGCAGCCTCGTCCGAGCGGTCCCAGCCGACGTCGCCCTGTCGGTGGTTCCCTCAGCTTCAGGGGAATGAGGCCCATAACTGTTACTGTTTTCGGCGATAAGAAGTTTAACCACGCGTAGCTCGCCAGGCTCTGACGTGGCACCCTCCGCATTGGTACGTTTTTGGAACAGTCCAAAACCGTTCACCCCCACGCCACGATGAGGCTGCGGATAGGATTTGTAGGGGATAATGAGCGTATCTAAACAAAAATGCCCAGTTTGGATACTAGTTGTTCGCGGTCATCTAGAGGTGAGCGCGCTAGTACAAACGCATTGGAGCGCGCTATTTTACGACCTGGAGCCAATTTCAAGCCAAACACTCGAAAAGTACCCCTCGCTTGAACACCCATAACTTCTTTGAGAGTAAAGCTCTCGAAGAGGAGAAAGCAGGAATGGCTTTGAACAGCCATAGCAAGCTTCATACAGAGCCATTCGTAAAAAGAAAAACTGTGCCGGAAGCATGAAGCTTTCTACTTTCCAGCAAAACTTTCATTTTCTCCCTAGGCCTGCTATTCGAAAAAATTCCCCGTTGTGATCACTCCGTGATCACTGCCCCACGACACGAAAAATCAACCCCCCCGACGCCATAAAACCTCCAGTTGGCTTGAAGACTTTGGTATGCTTCTAAACGCATGTTTTCGCCAAGGATATCAGGAAATAGTTCATTGGGCGCCAATTGGCATCACCTCTGCAATGCGCCATGCATAGCGCTTTCACGCAGAGCTATTGGGAATGCAACTTCTAGAAAGGGCTTCCTCCGTGCAAGTAGATGTGCTTCTGCGATAGAAAGGTCCGGAAGTGTACTTTCATCTGTTTATTAATTCATGGCGGATATTCATTGGCGCGGAGGTGGTGTAGTGGCGCGCTTACCACTCGCGCGATGCCGGGTTCAAATCCCGGGTCGACTCCCGCCCAGGCCAACCAAGCCTTCTACCCTCCGGGGACGGTATTGGTACCAGATTCGTCTGGGAGGATAAAACACTGACTTGTACATCGGCTGGCCACCGCAAGTCATTGTATAGGCCACATCGCATTCAATAAGCCACTGCGATTCTGAATGGAAGTAGAATGCGTGCCGCATCCCACAAAGAGGTTGACCGGCGGAGACTTTATCCTTCATCTTTTTTTTACTAATTCATGACGTCGTTGTGGGCGGCCATCGTATTTCCTGTCATCGCCCGCTCCCCACTTCTGCGCTTCTGTCTTGTGTGGGTCTCTTCAGGGTTCTTCACATGGATAAGTCTTTCATCATTGAAGCTGAACGACATTGGGTATCGCTGCACCCTCACTTCAGAAAGGTCCCCGCTCTTACGTCCCCCCTCCCTCGAGGTCAAAAACGACCCTCCTGTTGTGGTGTTCACGATGACGTGCCCTGGATATGAAACCATGTTGTGCCTTCCAAGTTTCATTAACTGCGGCTGTTCCTTATCACTTGTAAAACCCCACTTTCGGCAAATTACACCTTGAACTGACGTTCTACTATTGCTACGACCCGTGTTATAAATTTGCGTACGAACAGACACACATACGTACTCACATACAAACATACAAACCTACAAACAAAGTTACTGGTTTATAATATGAAAGGACAGCACCTCTTCTCTCTCATTCGACGAGCATTTGGATAAAAAATTATGCGTAATGTTCAGGTCGAATTTGATAAGCGATTCGAATATGTTGAACCGTACATGGAGAACAGACTCGTCACGGCGACAAAGAAATATTTCTCTAGGTGAAAATCCTACTCTAGGCGAAATTCCTTCTTTAGGCGGCATTTCCGTCCTTATTTCTGTAGGTTTACTCGACCCTTCGCAAGTTTACGATCATTCCGGGCAACAATGCTTTCGTTTATACCGATTTTGTATTGGCTTCCGAGGTCAGTTCACCGAGGTCCGCATTCAGTCATCCGTTTTTTTCCTTTGTTATAGACTGAAATGTCTCTTGGTTACATATGATTTCCTAAAGGTACAATATTAAAAGCAACCTACTCAACGATGTAGTTGGAGGACTCATGGTCGGTATCATGCACGTACCACAAGGTATGAGTACATAATGTAGTAAGGGAAGAACGTGAAGGAAGTTATTGCGGTTTTCGAGCTGAAGTTCCAATTGCGCACATCTTGGCTTGAACAATACTTCCTTAATAGAGTCAGCAAACTTTCGGATTAGAACCACACTGTAAGCGCACCTCTCACAACGAGGAACAAGTTTATTCATTCGCTTGCGTAAAAAAGTGAAAATCTAGAGACGACGGACTCGATGAATGTGGATGCAGACCTATCTGAACTTCCGAAGCACTTCTCGCAGTGGAAGCTGTAGAGATGTTTGAAGACGTGGCGATACAAGGGGACTAACGAAGTCGCATCATTGTAAGTCTGGTGAACATGGCGGATCCAGTCGACTTCTGCGGATAAGCTTGACAAATTCCTCCTGGCTAGGTTATGCGACGTAGAGCCGAGCGTGGAAAAACATGGAGGAGATCGTGACGCGACAATCCTTCAGCCCCTCTGTTAAGCTGTGTGACAAGAAATTAAAAAATATAGAACATTGAGGCAGTGTCCTCCAACCTTGTTCACGAACTCACTTCAACTAGCGCTACCAACTCTTCGTGTCAACATCCGATAGCCACCTACCACAACATCGAGGCTCTCATCGCCTGCACTTAAATGCCTAAGGCAGGACAATTTGGGTATCCGGTTTAGAACGGCAGCAGAGGCGCTATCTAGTGGCAAAATGGTGAAAAAGAGAAGTGAAATGACAAAACCCGCGAAGAAGACCGTTGTTCTACACGACTGCGAAGGCTGTTCCGGACGAGTTCCCCGCTGGTATCGTGCCAATAACTAGCTCTGTAGATACGGCTGCATGTATGTACTCATTAATCCATGCAGCATCATAGCCGTTTCGTATTAGTCTCTCCGTCTCATATTATACTTCGCAAATGGAGCCATACTAGCATCAGCATCCGCCGGAAAAGTTTTTGCTAAAACATTCTTCCCACCTTCCGGTGTTGAGCACCTTCCTCGGCTATCTAGAATAGAGCAGTCAGAAAATGGACTGTATGTACTGCCTGCAATTGAACTGTACCCTACCTCCGCTGATATGGAGTATCTACCTTCACGGAGCCTCGTCTTGAAAGGTTGATTACGTGACCTGTTGCTCGCACTTCTTCAGTAGAAGCGGACGCCTAACGATTGTCTCTGCACATGATATCACTACCTACTTGTAAATAATAACGTAAATCGTGCATCAAGTGCAGAGGGTCATGTCATTATTATTTACTGCTGGAAAAAGCCTTCTTATTTCCAGTGACCCCAACAACTTTCTTTCCACCAACTTTTCTATGGCGCAAAGTGGTTTGAATGTGTATTTTATTCATGTTAATCGCGACCACCTAAACAAAATCATCGATGCAGCACTAATCAAGCAGTTTGATTGAACGAGACGTGCTCAAGCGGTGTTGCGAACTGACAAAAATAATGCAGAAAAGGCATGTGGGAAGGGGACCGAAAACTGTCAGAACTTCCTTCATTTCTTGATATAATGTGGGTTAAGGAATCAGTCACCACTTTTAGGTATAGCTTACGCATTTCTTGCTGATGTTCCTCCTGTGGTCGGCCTCTACACTTCATTCTTTCCTGTGCTTACTTACATGGTGTTCGGAAATTCTCGTCACAACTCACTCGGTAACACCCTTTTATGTACGGTCAGCTGTGCAGGTCACTGCAGTCACGCGCTTCTTTATAATAGTTTACGAAGAATCAATTTATTATCTTTTTGGTTCAAAGTGGAGTGTAGTCCTTATCATAAGTGGAAAGGACGGATATTTCTTGTCACAGGAGAGCATCAGAGACCGCATTTCGAAATTATTCAAGAGTGACATGAATAATCACTCAAAGCGTCTCATATGTTCCCATCAGCAGAAGCTCTAAAAATGCGCATGACCATCAACGTGTCAATAATGAGCGTTGAATACAGTTTCCCTAGGAGCAAGGTGGAACCTTTTTTCTATAGAAGGCAGGCAAACCTGTAACGTTGAACATTCAGCAGAAATACCTGTTTGAGCGAGGTAACGAAGTCCTAGCTGCACGATTCTCAGTGTTCGTGTTACTTTCTATGCTATCAGCACCAGGGTTCACACCTAATCCATCCCAAAGCTCCTGTTGAGTGAAATAAAGTTCCAGAACAGGACTCAAGTTTTGTCCCGTACTACTCTACTGTGAAGGTAAAACTTCGTGGCTCAGATATTCAAACTTATAACTGCAGCGTTTTTCTCTTCAAAACTCTTGAGCTCTCTATTTTGAGGCTCCTTTGCCGTCGTGGCTTTGATGTCCGGACGGACCGTTTATCGATTATCTCACAAAAGTGAAAACGTCGATGCAATACTAGCGAATTCTTCTATTACTTCTGAGCACATCTTCCAACCTGTTGAGGTGGCTTCAGCCTTAACCTTAGCGATAGGACTAGTCCAGGTGATTGTCAGCACGAGAAGGTTCATCATTCATTACTTTCAGTCGACTCATCAACACTAGTGAAGCTGCATGTTTAGTTTGCGATCGCTCTTTTGGGGCTTGACTTTTTGACAACATACTTCTCCGACCAGATAGTCGCAGGCTTCACAACCGGAGCCGCTGTGCATGTATTCGTGACTCAGCTGAAAGACGTCACCGGAATTTATGGCACACCAAGGCGTGTTGGTGTTGGGAATGCGATACTGGTACGTGGTAGGTTTTAATTTCCGTTTGCTGTAGTTTTTGTCAACAAAACCGCTTGAGAAGAAAAGCATATGTATGAACCTACCAACCGTCAAAAGACATTTTGAATAGTAAGCCCTCAAAAGAGACGAAGGTGACGATCGCATTTGCACTGAATTGGCAGATTCTCGTTCTGTATTCATCTCCTTGACCAGTAGTCCATTCCGGTCAATTAAAAGAGCTCCACGAGATGACTTTCAGGGATACCTTTCCTTCAGACCAATGTCTCATCCTACAAACGTACTCTTAATCGAACATCATGCCAAATGCCATGGAATGTAATCTCCACGTTGTCCCTTGTTGTAACCTCGGCATGATGTCGAATGTTCGGTTGCTTCTGCCAAACGAGGTTGTTAGATGGAACCTTTTATTAGGCCTAATGTTTCGACGTTCTCATCTTCCTTATGAAGCGAATGAGTCTCACTTGAGGTCCATCGTGACTTATGCGACACAATGGGACTCAAGTGAGACTTATTCGTCCTTACTAATCCTACTTACACACTGCATAGCTAGGCTCACGGTGGAACCTTCGGTGAGTTGCTCGCAGTCATTACCGTGTTATTCGGAAGTGTTCGCCACACGACGTCGGAAACGCTAGAGTGGGAAGGCGCTTGGTCGGGTAGGTGACAAATTGAAAGCTTCGAGCCATTTTCAGGCCTCTGAAGAAGACGAGAAGGTCGAAACGTTGGGCCAATAAAAAGGTTTCATCTAACAACCTCGTTGTGCAACTAAACACTCGCTATGGAAAGTATTTGGCGTTCCCTCTTCTTTCCACATACCTTCTGCACTCTTAGATTGCCTTATCCAGCCTCCTCAAATTATTTATTTCATGTATGTTTGCGATGGGCGTGTTTAGAATATTTCCAGTGTATAGACTGGAATATATTCAAAGTGCCCTCATATCACGAATTTTCTTTTAGCGAGTGTTCGATATCGTGGTTGAAATATACAGGACAAACCCAGTCACTATCCTAGTGTCGATCGTTGCTATGATCGTGCTGTACATCGGCAAAAAAATTATCAATCCACGTGTTGTTGCACGCTCACCTGTTCCTATTCCCTTCGAGTTGCTTGCGGTATGTTTTGCTGTACGGCAACCTTCATTGACAATTTGACGTCATCGATCAAAAAACCATCAATTTGCTTATTCGCTCATTGTGTACTCGAAAGCAAGTCTTTCATATAAAAAACAGAATATATTGGTAAGATACTACAGCGCTTTTCATTGAGGCACGTCCATTCTTTATTCTATTGGGGAACATTCCTTATAACCCTGATTTACTTTTATGGTACACACTATTTTCCCCTGTATAAGAAGAGAAAATACATGTGGTCAAACATAGCAGACTTTCTATCAAAATTTTCACATTTTTCTTTAAATTTACGATTGTTCAATGTTATTTGCCATCCTTAAATGACCTGAAAAGCTTTTCTTGTATCAGTGTGGTTTTTGTTCTTGCCCGAAATGAGCAACAACATGTCTCATCGTAACTCCATGTGATCCTCGTCTATCCACGGAAATGAAGGTCCGGTTTCAGACCTTCCACCAAACCAGCTTTATCAATCGACGGATCGACAACCAAATCAGTAGGGCTCACTGCGTTGTTTGCTCCTACCACAGATAGCGCATTGTAAGCGGATGTGGGGCTAGAAATAAGCGTGAGCTCTGCATTGTGGAGCGACATCATTTGTTCAGATCTCCTCTCACTAAATTAAACCAACCTAGAAGTACTAAAGAAGGACTGGCGAAAATCAACCTAGAAGGACTGGCGCTACATAATAGTGAATTGGATTGAGGAGCGACCCAGTGAAATCAAGCTAGCGTAACTCCGATGGCGCTTCGCTAATGTCTTGGAAGCTTGCTGTTGCAAAAGGAAAAGGGAGATAGCTCTCGTTCCCTGCCTGGATCCTAGACTTCAAAAAGTCCTCAAGTCCACCTGTTGCTGCGATGCGTTCACGCAGCAGGTCAACTTCGGAGTGGTTCCACTATTAGGAAGTCGATGTTATGGAGTCCGCATGCGGCCTGATCCTCGTTTCTATAACCAGATAGATAGTAGATAGATAGATAGATAGATAGATAGATAGATAGATAGATAGATAGATAGATAGATAGATAGATAGATAGATAGATAGATAGATAGATAGATAGATAGATAGATAGATAGATAGATAGATAGATAGATAGATAGATAGATAGGCGGATACTGAGATAGGCGGATACTGCAATAGCAAAAAGAGGGAAGAACTTGCTACGTAACTACTGCTTGCTTTTTACGATTTTGCTGAATCCTGCAACTCCTGGTTAGGCTCAGTTCATAAACCGAAAAACTGAGATTTAAGATTACTAAGGCGGTGATAATGAACAGGTAGTTCGCCAAGAAAGTGGCAATTATGCACCCTATCAGATCAAACCTTCACTCATGACGTTGCTAGTGCTACAACTGCAATTTAGGAACGGCCTCGTTGGATGAGAAATGTTGCCAGACCAAGTGAGTGATTGATGGATAGGCCCAAACCGCTTTATCTACATCTTTGGAATTTTGCAGTATTATTGAGGAGCCTGCAGGAACGTTTTTTTTGGGAAAAAGAAGAACCATAAAAAAGGTAAAGTAGGGTAGGAGAGTGGAATCTTCTTGGGGGACTCTTCAGATACTTTTAATTCGGACAAGAGGTTCAAACGTATATGATGCAAGGTAATGAGGATCTTGACACCTAAAACCGAAAAAAAACTTCACCTTCTGGATCCTGCCGTTTTGGAACCTCCCCCCCCCCCTGAGGAGAGAAGGGACGGCCGCAAACCCATTTCGCAACCGGCCACAGGTAATATGGGCCGACGTGGTTCTGCCGAGAAAAATTCTTGAGAAACAGGAGAGGATTTTAGGGAAGTTTCTGGTGCGATATACCCGGTCGAGGGGCTTTCCCCAGATAGTAGGAGGTAGGGATGGAGCGATATTGAGGGATGAAGTTGACCACCTGCATGAGTTGTATATTTTCATGAAATAGAAAGCAGCTTTGGGGGTGTCACTGGGATTCACTTGATGATGGTGAGAAAGGGAGGTTTTTGGCTGGAACTGGAGGTAGCGGTAGAGGGACGAGGTCAACCTGGACCAGTTTCCCTCCTAACTATGGCGTACCCAATCCGTAGGAGAGACATCATAAACATGGAGTTGCTTATGGGCTAAGTCCCGGCTTTGCACAAATGGTGCATGGGACGCCACTCTCCTCCCTTTCCTCTCCCCACGATTCGGAGTTTTCCCAGAAACTTTGAAATAATAGATGGATAGAAGGGTTTGGAGTGAGCTACGTGCATGAGTTGCATATTTTTATGGACTGAAAAGTTGAGAGGGGCAAGTCTGAGAGAAAGTCTGGATGGATGGGATCACCGTACCCGGTATTAAGTTCCAATTCAGGCTCTGCACAAAAGGTTGACTGACGCATCCCTCTCCAATAATCGCGGTATTGAAGGGAAAGACTTTCGGGATGCGAAAGAATGGGTCTTAGCTGGAACTGGAGGTAGCAGTAAAGGACGAGGACGGGTGAGGTTGCCAGCCTCCCTCCTCACCGTAGCGCGCCTAGTCCGCAGAAGAGACGCAAACACAGAAACGCTCATGTAGTGTAGAAATTCGTTGAAGGTGAACCATGTAGAGGATAAGGAGCAGGTGCACAACGTTCCGCGAAAGTACACACATCTAAATGGAATTTTAGATCCTTCAGATGTGAATTCCCTGTAAAACACTTCTATAGGGTGTTAACTAGAAAGACAATGTTAAACTGACCATTGCAGTACCTAGAAAAATATCAAGTACTCTTGTTTTTTACTGATTTGTCGTCATACGACATCAGATCTCTCGCTAATGAACGCATTCATCAGAAAGGCCAACTTTTCCCTCAAAACGAGTAGTGATACATACATACAGATGCCCTGCTAATCTCTTGGATCTGTGTGTTTTGGCTGCGAGATTATCCGTTCACATTGCGGTAAGGGCGGAAAAAAAGGCGTAAATGACACGACAAGCGCGCTGGCTTAGAAAAAATGGCACTATTTACCCTTTACTGCCCCAGCCATCCGAAATCAGGCCAGTTCCTGACCGACTTTTTTCTCCGTGGGCAGAATTTGC